TATATACAACTGCAAACATTTTTTTAATCAAGACAAAACTTGTAGATAGTCATGGCCAAGAAAAAATTATTTGCAAATTTGGAGGCTCTTTCAAAACAATTTTTCACTCCTGCAAGGCCGAAGTGATTTGTTTCTATTTATTTTTTTCCAACCTGACATTTGAAAAGAGAATCTTTGTTTGAAAGCTGACCTACATTTAAAATAAAACATTTTTTAATGTAAACAAAGCCTTTCAGGATGCTAAAGGGAGCTGAAACCTTGTGGGATTATGGGAGAAATGATCTTTTCCATCCACCTTGTCCTCGAAGGAGACACTTTTGTCCCAGATCACCAAGCAAAAAAGGCCCATGCAGTGAAACCAGGACATTTCTGATGGAAGCTTCCACGCTTTCCCACGGGCAGGTGGCAGGAACACACGGACTTGGTCCTTCATCCCACGACGGGTGGATGAAGCTGTTCTGTTAATTGCAGAGCGGGCTGGAGCGCCCTCCGCTCGGCCCCAAGCGCGGAGCCCTGAGCTAATGACTGGTTGGAGCACCACGGGCCTTCCCGGCAGGGACACTGCCCTATTCCTAATCCCACGCTGGCAGCATTTAGCCAGGGATGTGAAAACCCTCGGCTTTGAATCCTCCTGCCGCGGGGACATTTCCCAGGGCTTCCCCCCTGCTTGTGGGACGGAATAAGCGTCCCTCTGCCCTGTCCTGCAAGGATTTTGTTCACAGGCCCATATGTGTTTCCAGCCTCCCCTCACCCCCATGCCAGAGCACTTCCCCATTTGGGGACTCTGCAGCACATGCTTTCTAGCTTTCCCATCCCTGTTTGGAAAAATCGGATTCACTCTCCCCCTCTTGGGGCTTCAGGCCTGACTCTGCGGTGATGGGCAGTAGGGGAGCTCCTCCTCTCTGGTGAGGGAAGTGCTGCTTCCTGCAGAACTTGCACTTTTACAAGTGAGGTAGCTGGGGCAGTGCCCAAGCAAGCAGGGAATATTGTGGAACATGTGTTGCAGAAAGGCAAAGGAGGTTTACAGCTACAGAACTAGCCAATATTATTCGATCTCACCATTATCTTTGTTGAAAAGTCTGAGCTGTAAATGGGTGCATTTGTATGATGAAAAATAACAGCTCGGCGAGACAAGCATCACTGCCAACGTTGTCTGATGGCTACGAGCAGCCCCTCTTCCTTCCAGCAAGATAACAGGCCAGTGGCCATTGCAAAGTCTCGGGTTGCTTGCTGACCATGCTCAGGCTTCTTGGGGAAAATGACATACGGGAGACAATTAAATAAGAGCTGTTATGGCCAGGTTAGCAGAGAGACTGACTTCCTATCATGGCTCCAAGACAAATATACACACGTAGCACAGTGCTAGGAAAACACAAACTCGCTTCCTGGTGAGCTCGCAAGCTCCCTGTTTGCATCCAGCCATGGATTCCGCTCTCCTATGGAACCCAGCTTGCCCGGCCGTAAGGAATCGCCTCAGCTCACGGCCGTGTGCCTCCCTGCCGGGTCCGGCAGCTCCATCGCTACAGACCAGAGGGTAATTCACCCTCCCACAGTGCCCAAACTCTGCTTTTCTCCAAGGCAAGGGCCAGCTCCGTAGCTCACACTGCAGACGGATGCACTCGGCGGTCAGGAGTGACACAGAGCCGAGCAGATGCAGCTCCCGCGGGGAGCAACGCAAAGCCCCGCAGCTCCCGAGGGTCTGGCCCCGTGCAAGAGCCAAGCGCCGCTCCGTCTGCAGCTCCTTGCTCCAGCAGCCCCGGGGCAGGCGGCCACCTATTTTTAGCTCCCGAGGTAGCTGAAATACCGCAGTGATCTTCATGCCTCGGTGGGGTGGGAAGAGCGAGGCGGCTGGCCTCGTTTGCTCTGCTGTTTAATTGCTCGGGCGCAGCGGCCAAGCGTGGCAGGGGGCTCAGCTCCGCTCACCTCGGGAGCAGGGCGAGCGCCGGAGCCGGGAGGAGGCAAGAGGAAAGTCAACCAGGCAGGCTTTAAAAATCTACCTGCTGGGCCTGGAGGGGGCTGGCGATTTTAATGTCATTCCCAGCAAGAGATGCAGCCTGGAGAGGGAGAAAAGAAAGGGGCATCTTCTCTCCTTGGAGCCTTAATTGCTCGTTAGATCATTGAGCACAGTCAGCACCTCACACCTAGCCCCACGCTCCTTGGCAGAGGGGCTTTATCCTCGCCAGGGAGAACAGTGTGGCTTCAAATGCTCATTTCCCCTGCTTTTTCTGGGACAATAAAATTACGAGTTGGGGTATAAAATTATAAATTGGGGGTAAAATTAAGAGCTGTGGCGCGGGGCGCATTGCGCAGGGAACGCCCAGGACCCCGTTTTTACAAAGGACGCAAGTGAAGGGTGGCATTAGTCACCCCTCAGATGCCCTCCTGTGCTGGGCAGAGCAGCCACCAGCAGGCTTTGTATTATCTGACATGTGTGGAAAGGCAGGAAGAGTGAGCGTTGTAGGAAAACACCACTGAGGATTTATGAATGTCCATGGAGAGGAAGCAGCTCTCCAGGGCAGAAATGAACTGCACTCTGCATGGTCCCGCCTTTGCCTTGGCCCTGAGGGGTGAGTCACCAGCCCTATTTCTCAATATCGAGTCTGTGCAGAGAGCTAGGAGATTTCTGGGCTGTAAAATATAAAGTTATGTATGTTGTGATAAAGACTTCAGGTTCATAAAGTCTTCAACATGTAGAGACTCCACCCCATTAAGTTTTATGTCTCCATACAGTACTGAGACTTTTTCGGCCCATAAAGACTTAATGTGATGGGGACTTCAAGCTCTTTCGTGGAGTGCTGAAATCTCCAGCAGCCTCAGACTCCAGCAGGAGCAGTTTGGTGCTTGGCAGTTTTTCAGCAATTCCAGTATCTGACAAATAGGTGCTGCAAAAGAGTTTTGCCCCTGGCCACGCAATCTGCGTCACACATGATGGTCTTCCCAAACACACGCTTAGATCATGTGCTTTTCAACATTGACCATCCTCCCCTATCATAATTCCTGTGTCTGAAGAAATAATCGGCTGCAAAGCCTGTAGCACCTTGTCTGCAGAGGATCCTAGGGAGAGGCCTGCTCATGGCTGGGCCATTCCCAACCCAGCTGCTAAATTAACTGAACATCAGACAGGAGCAGCAACAGCACCTGGCAGGGAAGAGTAACGGGATAAATCATGTTGCAGCCCATAGTCCTGGGAGAGCCATTTGGGAGAGGCCCTTCTCCAGGAGGTGAGGAGCAGGCTCACCAGGAACCAGGCACCAAACTTGTGGGGACTTTGTGCTCGTGGGAGATTGCTGTGATGGGAGATCATTGCCTGTGGGACGATGACAGAGACCAGAGCGAGACCAGAGCTCTGTCCATGCCTCTGTTTGCAAGACTCGCATTTCTGGTGAGACAGATGTCCATGAACATCAGTGCAGCCCCTAAAGCGGCTCCACTGAACCACGTTTCCCCCAGCAGCCTGTGGTTGCTGTAGGTGCACGTACAGGTCAAGAGCTCCCTTTTGTCAATTAAATATAATAAGTCATTTTTTTTTCAGCTAGTAGAAACGTGAAACTTTTCCAAATCTTTCCATTATCAAAGCGATGAAAGAAAAACTCTGCAAAATAAAGAGCATCCCGGGGCTCCAGGAGTCTAGGAAGGGGTGGGAGATCCACTTTCTGCATTCTAAGCAGAGGAGGGTCAGGAGTTTGGGTCTACCGCTTCCAAATGAGCATCTCAGCCGCTTGTGACCATTAGCGTGAGGCTGGACTCAGCAATTCCTATTCCAAGTCTGTCTAGACGCTCCCATCCCAAGTCTGAGACATCTCCCAGACCCAAGTTGTGTCAGAATAAAAAGTTTCTGTTCCAAGTGAATCGGATTTTTCTGACCCCAAAAACGAACAGAAAGATTCCATCCAAAAATCACCAGCTGGTCCTGCCTGGTTGCCATACTCTGTAACCACAGGAGATTCCTCCTCATCTGAATCACAAAGCGCTGCAGACAGCCAAGGTGTTATGTATTAACATGAGCTAGCCCCTGCAGCAGAGACACGGGCTTGCGAGAAATAACCGGGAATCAGAAAAAGCAATGAACCAGCATCAGAAAAGAATTGTTTCGGAAGCGCTTCTGCTACTCCTGATACAAATGAGCCCAACTTCCGTAAGGTTAAATAGAGTGTAAAACAGGAATCCCTGCAAGACATCCATCACTACTAACAAGTCCAAAAGCTCTTGTACACGTATGAATTTCCTTTGCTTACCAAGAGGCTCAGGACAAACATAGCAGACTGATTCATCTGCTGAACAGAAATTGTTTTTCACATGCTACACATTGCACAAGGAAATGTTTCCTTTTCGCTTCCTTGCTGCAACCTCCTCTCCCCCTTTCTGCTAGGTCATACGGTCTGGATCCTGGGGTCCCAGCCCAACAAACACAGGCTGATGCTTTGGGGGCCTGTCTGTGAGACCTCTGCCTCCTGCATCCCCCTGACCTCTGGTTTCTTCTCTCTGCAGGCTGATGCCAAGATGGTCTGTGACGTTGTAAGTCGGATGGAGGACACAGAGCCCTTCTCTCCAGAGCTGCTGTCAGCTATGATGAGACTCTGGGCAGACTCTGGTATCCAAGAATGCTTCAACCGGTCCCGGGAATATCAGCTTAATGACTCAGCCCAATAGTGAGTATCTCTGTCCACTGGCTTTTGCATTAACAGGTTGCATTTGGGCTTGCTCAAGTGTTAACCATAGCGGCTCCTAGAATGCTGAGCATCTTTGCAGTCGGGGATGGGGACAGAGCTGTGCTGCAGAACGGGCTGTGTGGGGCCTGCCGGCTGCTGAGAGCCAGGCAGGGCTTTCCCTTTGCCCCTTGCCTGTCTGGGCTGGTTCACGACCCAACAACCCAGGCTCCCACACTGCCCCCAGAGAGTCCGCGCAGGTTTCTGCAAACACAGATCTCAGGAGCAAAGGAAGAGCACTCCTGGGACATGACCAAGGGTTTGTTTGCTGAGAGACAGTAAAAGGAGGTGACACTTTGCTTTGTAAGGCAGTACAGCTCATGGCTTCTGTTTCCTGACACTCTTACTCATACCAAGACCAGGGGGACTCTTTGCCTTTGGTATTTTGTACTATTCCCACAATACAGCCAGTGACATCTGTACCAGTAGGGACCAAATTAAGATTTCTTTTTGATCATGACTGTCTGAATCCACATCTTTGGTTCATCCCTTTATAAAGACAAGACTTTTACCCATAAACAGTTGCTCTGGCCCTAAAGAAACAGCGAGTGTTTCCCCACTTTCATTGTAGGCCCCGTCCTATGATAATTCCTCCAATCCACATGCCTTGACCCAGGCAAGGAGACTACAACATTTCATCTCATAATTTCCACCACAGCATAAGAGCAACTTTTATGTTCAGGGAGAAGCTCCCCTGACTCCGCACTTGGACAGCAGTCAGCAAAAAATGGTTAAGTAAAAGTATATGGAGCAAGCAAGAACAGACTGCTCCCTTTTCCGGCTATACCCATGCGCCTTTTGGCAATCAGAAGCATATAGGTTCCCCAGCATGGTGACAGGGAAATATTTTTCCTCCATATAGACTGCATAGTGTGCAGCAAAACATGGTGCCATGCACTGGGAGACGGTTTTGTTGGGCACAAGGGTGCTGATCTCCACAAGTAGGTCCCAGCTTGTCCCCAGTGAGCTCGGCTGCTGCTGCTGCTGCGGATGCTGCGCTGACGCATCCCTTGGCACGGGCCAAACACCAAGCAGGAGGCTTGCAGATGTGTCACAGCGTCCTACCCAACTAGCTCACACCGGGAACAGCTACATCGAAGTGATGGTCCTGACATTATGCAAACTTTTAATCACTGCTGAGTGGAAAGTCATGTTCAATCTGTATTTCATTGCCTGTAACAGTGAAATCTGCCTTTCTTGCCAGAAAAGTTTTTTTTTACTCTTTTTTTTTCTCACAAAAGAAGAATCTGATGGCAAAAACATATCCTTAGAGATATAAATTACACAAAAAAAAAAAAGCCCAGTCATTTGCATTACAACCTTGTGGAAAATTCTTTAACTGGTTTTAGAGCCATTTACATTGAGGAAACTATTTTGATTTTCCTTCCATGCAATATAGCAGTTGAGAATAATAAGCGTAACCCTCACAGTGTGACCAGATGCTGGGCAATTCCTCAGCAAGAGCTCTGAAACCACAAGCAGTCTCTAGACATAACTCACGGGGCTCTGTGTTGTGCTGTTCACAGCAATATCAATGGATAGTTGCATCCCAGCAAGATTAATTTCAGTATATTTGGCAAAATCTCTTGCACTGCATTGAAATTCTCAAACTAACCAACACCAAAAAAAGAGATGATGATGGAAGGGATGATAGAAGAGGAAATAAAGCCCGTTGCCTTATGCACTCCTGCTGCTAGAATAAGTAGAAACACGTTATTTGGCTACACATTGAACTTACCCATTTTTTTGGTTAGTCATTGGACTTACCTGGCCCTAAGTGAAGAATGGAGCAGCCAGACACCTGTACCAGGGAGCTGGTGCTGGGCATGCTCTTGTTCACCTGCTTGGCTCTCAGATGCGCTCAAGCCAGAGCCTGATTTGCCATGTGCCCTATAAACAAGCTAGCAAGATTTAAGACCTTTTGGGGCAGTTTCTACCTCTCACAACTGGGGATCAACTCACCAATCACCATCAAAGCACCATTCAGAGCTGTGGCAGTGAGGCAGAGATGAAGCCCCAGCCCTTGCGTCCTGAAAGCCTCCCTTTCTCCTAGCTGGTGGATGCATCTGCAGCCAGAGGAAGTCAGAGCCGCCTCTCTCCACGTGCAAGCTGTGAGTTTTGTTGTGGCTGGACAGTTGGTTTCTTGGTGTTAGTTCAGCTAAAGATAACAAAACTCTTCACGTTTGCAAATCTGCAGCCATTTAGGAGCCTCTGGTGGTTCAATCACCATGAGCAAAGATGCTGTCAGAGGCTGGGACACTAACACGTCCTGCTGCACCTCTAGGCCTTGCTGCACTGTAGCAGATGGCGATGCAAGTGAGAGCTCAGTTGGCACTTACTCACGCCCAGTGGATCCCCAGTGAAAAGCGGCATATTTTTCATTTAATCCTTGAATGCTTTGGGGTTGTTTTCTTCTGCATGAGTGAAAGATTTGAGACTTTTTATTTTTTTCCATAGGAAAAGACTTATTTTTATAAACACTGATAATGGATTTAAAACACTAGCAGGTACAAAAGGTATTTCTTTAAGACTGAGAAAAGTTAATTCCAAGCAAAACGTTCACCCAAGTTTGTAAGTAGCGATGGGGAGTGAGCTCTGTGATCTCCTTTATTAAATGTAGGGACATAGGCCAGACACAGCGACCGTCCCCTGCAGTGTCCCCAGTAACAACCTGCAAAGAGATGGTGCAACAGGATGAAAACCAGGCCTGCCCTGTCGACAGTGCTCCCTCCTCCTGGCCAGTGCAGCACTTTGCCTGTGAAGGGCTTCACATTTATTTTCAATGCCTCAAACAACAGGCCTTCTGCTGTGTCCCCTGGGAGACTAAGTCACAGGCTAATCAATGGCATTTAAGAGCTAGCAGCATGGTTCTTAGTCCGTCATTAATTTCATGGAAAATAGATTTAATATTTCATGTTAGCCTAAACATAAGTAAGTAACAGCTCTTCTCTCCCAGCGATGATGGGCAGAAGCACATTGCTTCCTGCACTCCCATGGACCCTTGCTTAACGGCATCGACTTTCCCACCCAGTTGCCGTTTTGCTTAGGCTCTAAAGTCAGTCTGTCTTTAGCAAGGATTTGTTACATACTGTGAAGGAAAGGAGAAGGGAGAACAGTGCCGTTTGCAAAGAAAAAGGTGTCATGAAGGAAGAGGGGAGACTCTGGAAGAGAAGGAGTAAGGAACAAGGGAGTAAGTAAGGAGGAAGGGAAGGGAAGGGGAGATAGTTAGATGCAGCAGTTGGCTTTGTCATTTGGTGCTATTACATTTTTTTCATCCCTCCCTAAGGCAAATTTATGGGTGGATTGAGTTCTACTTTCCTAATCTCTTGATTATGTTTTCATTCCTACTTCATCTCCTTTCTTTCTTGTCTCAATACCTAACAACTAAATCTACCTCTGATCATCAAGAAGTCTGAGCACTCCTGACGTCTTTTTCTTGTCCAGCCAGTGTTTGTCAGTGGGACCATATCTGTGGCCCACATTCGCATTCAAAATCAGCAAAACGGGGGTTTCCAGCTGCTTTCCTTAATCTCTTTTGTTCAGATTCAAAACTTGCCTTGTGTTTCCTATCGCTGAGTTCCCAACTTGAGGCTGGTCACTAGAGCATGGCGCTTAGGACAAGTGGCATCTTAGGCACCTGGAGGTGGGGAGAAGCCTCCAAACTTCCATAGGGGAATGGAGCAGGCAGGGCCTCCACATGAGCACTCATTTTCCTGTACCTAGCCCAGTGGGCACAGGCCCCGTGAGATGCATAGACAGAGACAGTTTGCAAGCACGTGAACACAAGAAAAGCCAGAATCTGTATCAAGTAGATGTCAAAATTCAAGTTATTCTCTCCTTGCTTCTAAGCACATTGAAAGATCATTTGATAATGCCAGGGCTGTGAAACTTCAGTGAAACTGCAAAATGTTTTAGGCCTGCATTCAACCCATCCATCTTCACACATATCTGAGGTGTCAGGGCTAGGAAGCTTGTTGCCTTTGGCTTTCTCTGTAGGGAGTCAAGGGAGGGTGAGATGCCTCCAAAGAGAGATACAGGTCTCAGTGCTCACTGAGGAGAGAAGATCATATCTACAGCCCTAACATATCTAACTGCAGCCCTCGTGTCTCAGTTGTGGCCAAAACATGCCCCCAAACTGAACAACACCTCGGTCTCTTCCTTTGGCAGTGACTGATAGAAGTGTTGCACCAAACTTGGAATATAACACTGGTACCTTCCCTCCCACCCAGGACTGTTTTCTGGTCTCTTCTTGGCAAAAGAATTGCATTTGCCTCATGATATATTCTTTCTTACCAATGCTATTACATCTCGCATGCCAACACCCACTTTACATGAAGAAAAGTCAAGAAATTAGAGCCAGATGTTCTTGTGATACAGCAAACTGCTTCCTGGACTGAGCCCCAACCAGCCCGCATTCAAACAGGCTTCCCAGAAAGGCGGAAAAGTCTCCATCCTTGGAAAGACTCAAAACTGAGCGACCTGATCTAACTCTGAAGTTGGATTTAAGTTTGCAGTTGGCCTTGCTTTGAATAGTGCGTTTGAAGCAGACGCCCTCCAGAGAACCGTCACATACTGGCACTTTTGGTTCTGTCTTTTGTTTCTCCCCTCAGCCTTTATCCAATGATGCTGGGTTGTAAAGGGAGAAGAAGACAGAGGTCCCCAAGGCTTTGGCTGGCACCCCATGGTAGAAGAGCACGAGCTGTGCGCTCACTGTAACGGGTGCCAGCCCTTTCCATGCTGCAGATGGGGCTGGCAGCAGCAGCAGAGCTGTGAGGACAGAGACATCGTATGCGCTGGTGTCACTTTGTCACTGAGACAATATATATGGCAGGGACAGAAATCCTAGAGCTGGCTGTCAGGAAGCAGGTCTTCAGTAGGAGGTGACTGAGGCTGCCATAGAGCCTCTGAAGGGAGGTCAGTCCCTGCCTGGGATGGTTGCAGCC